AGATATAGCTTGTTTCCCTCTTAGTAAGATCCCGTTCTCTCTTCCCCTCTCTCGCTCTCTCTCTCTCTCTCTCTCAATCAATCGAATCGACCGAAGAATTGAGAAGATGAATGGGTTGCAGGCGCTGGAGATATAGTAATGGCTAGCTCAGGTCGCTAAGGTTTCGTTTCTTTACATCTTTTCTCCCATTTTGAGGTAAGTCCTCTTTTCAGGAGCCATTTTTCAGCGACACTGTAAACCCTAACCAGTAGCGGTACTATTTTCATTTCTTCCTCTGTGCTTAGAAACCCTTATTTTGGTGCTTCAAATCCCTAATCCCCCTTCATAGCTTCACAAAGGCGAAACTCCTAGCTTTCCCACAACTTCTGAGAGAGGGCGAGTGCTGTTTTTCAAATTTCTAGAGAGAGAATACTGATCAAACTCCTAGATAGAGTGTTCTGGACTTTCTAGTGAGAGAGAGCTTAGTGAGAGAGAGCTCTGTTCGAATTCATAGAGACAGTTTTGCTGAACTTTCTTGTGAGTTCTCCTGAAATTCTTCCTCCTTCTAGTGAGAGAAAGAGAGAGCTCTTTTTAAACTCTTACAGATTTAGAGAGAAACCGCAGACCATGTACCTCTACGGATTGACCCTGCAACAGGCCACTGGCGTGGTTTGTGCAACCTATGGAAACTTCGTAGGTGGAAAATCACAAGAGATCATTGTAGCGAGAGGCAAAGTTCTCGATCTTCTTCGACCTGATGATAGAGGTAAGCTCCAAACTCTACTCTCAGTTGAGGTTTTTGGGGCCATTCGATCTCTGGTTCAGTTCCGACTCACCGGTTCACAAAAAGACTACATAGTTGTGGGCTCTGATTCAGGTCGAATAGTGATCTTAGAGTACAACAAAGAGAAGAATATCTTTGAGAAAATTCACCAAGAAACATTTGGGAAATCAGGTTGCCGAAGAATCGTTCCTGGCCAATATCTGGCAGTTGATCCCAAGGGGCGAGCGGTTATGATTGGGGCTTGTGAAAAACAAAAGTTAGTCTATGTTTTGAATCGTGATACCTCAGCTAGGCTCACAATTTCATCACCCCTTGAAGCTCACAAATCTCACACTGTAGTATACTCCATTGCTGGTGTTGATTGTGGTTTTGATAACCCAATCTTTGCAGCTATCGAGCTTGATTACTCTGAAGCTGATCAGGACTCGACTGGTCAAGCAGCTAGTGAGGCCCAAAAGCACCTAACTTTTTACGAGCTTGATCTTGGGTTAAACCATGTCTCCCGCAGATGGTCGGAGCCTATTGATAATGGGGCAAATATGCTGGTCACCGTACCAGGAGGTGGTGACGGCCCAAGCGGCGTCTTAGTCTGCGCCGAAAATTTTGTAATTTACAAGAACCAGGGACATCCGGATGTGCGGGCAGTTATCCCAAGGCGTGCTGATTTGCCTGCTGAACGGGGGGTTTTGATTGTTTCTGCTGCAACACATAGGATAAAGTCTATATTCTTTTTCCTCTTGCAAACTGAGTACGGTGATATATTCAAGGTGACATTGGAGCATGATAACGATAGGGTATCAGAGTTGAAAATTAAGTATTTTGATACTATTCCAGTCACTACGGCAATGTGCTTGCTCAAGTCGGGGTTTTTGTTTGCGGCTTCAGAGTTTGGGAACCATGCATTGTATCAATTTCAGGGGATTGGGGATGGCGATGATGTTGAGGCTTCATCGGCTACGATCATGGAGACAGATGAGGGGTTTCAGCCTGTGTTTTTTCAACCACGGGGCCTAAAGAACCTTATTAAGATTGATCAGGTAGAGAGCTTGATGCCCATTATGGATATGAAGGTGATTAATCTCTTTGAGGAGGAGACACCCCAAATTTTCACCTTGTGTGGTCGCGGTCCCCGATCGTCATTGCGGATCCTACGGCCGGGTTTGGCTGTGAGTGAGATGGCCGTGTCACAGCTCCCTGGTGTCCCAAGTGCAGTGTGGACAGTGAAGAAGAGTGCAAGTGACGAGTTCGATGCTTACATTGTGGTTTCTTTCGCAAATGCGACACTTGTTCTATCAATTGGAGAGACAGTTGAAGAAGTTAGCAATAGTGGGTTTCTCGATACTACTCCCTCTCTTGCTGTTTCCCTTTTGGGTGAGGATTCTTTAATGCAAGTTCACCCTGGTGGCATTAGACACATCAGGGAAGATGGTCGAATTAATGAGTGGAAAACACCGGGAAAAAAGACGATTGTTAAGGTGGGTTCGAATAGATCTCAAGTGGTGATTGCTTTGAGTGGTGGGGAGCTCATTTATTTTGAGATGGATGAGACAAGGCAGCTTATGGAGGTCGAGAAGCACGAGATGACAGGTGATGTCGCATGCCTTGACATCGCCCCGGTACCTGAAGGAAGGAAAAGATCACGTTTTTTGGCAGTAGGCTCTTATGATAGCACCATTCGCATTCTCTCTTTAGACCCCGACGACTGTATGCAAGTGTTGAGCATGCAAAGTGTGTCTTCTCCACCTGAGTCCCTTCTATTGCTCGAGGTTCAAGCTTCAGTTGGTGGTGAAGATGGGGCCGATCGCCCAGCTAGTGTTTTTTTAAATGCTGGTCTCCAAAATGGTGTGCTTTATCGAACCGAGGTTGATATGGTCACCGGTAACCTCTCGGATACTCGTTCTCGCTTTTTGGGTCTTAGGCCTCCCAAGCTATTTGCTTGTATGGTTCGAGGTCGGAGAGCCATGCTGTGCCTTTCAAGTAGGCCATGGCTTGGATACATTCATCGTGGCCATTTTTTGCTTACCCCACTTTCATATGAGACCTTGGAATATGCAGCTTCATTCTCTTCCGATCAGTGTGCTGAAGGTGTTGTTGCAGTTGCAGGGGATGCATTGAGGGTCTTTACAATTGAAAGGTTGGGTGAAACTTTCAATGAAACAGTGGTTCCTTTGAGGTATACCCCTCGAAAATTTGTTCTCCATCCAAAAAAGAAGCATTTGGTTATAGTGGAGAGTGATCAAGGGGCTTTCACAGCCGAGGAGAGAGAGGCAGCGAGGAAGGAGTGCTTAGAAGCTGCTGGTCTAGGGGAAAATGGCAATGCCAATGCTGATCAAATGCAAGAGAATGGGGATGATGAAGAGAAGGAAGATCCACTTCCTGATGAGCAATATGGGTACCCAAAGGCGGAATCAGACAAGTGGGTCTCATGTATTAGGGTTCTCGACCCAAGGTCCGGAAACACAACGTGTTTATTGGAACTTCAGGACAATGAGGCAGCATTTAGTGTGTGCACTGTGAATTTCAGTGACAAGGAGTATGGAACTCTTGTGGCTGTTGGTACGGCCAAGGGACTGCAGTTTTGGCCAAAAAGGCAAGTTTCAGTGGGGTTTATCCATATATATAGATTTGTTGAAGATGGCAAGGCACTTGAACTTTTGCATAAAACGCAAGTGGATGGGGTTCCTCTAGCTTTATGCCAGTTTCAAGGGAAATTACTGGCTGGTATAGGTCCAGTGCTGAGGTTATATGACTTGGGGAAAAGGAAGTTGCTTCGAAAGTGTGAGAATAAGCTGTTCCCAAATACCATAGTATCTATCCACAGTTACCGTGATCGTATTTATGTTGGCGACATCCAGGAGGTGAGTTTGATTTCATTACACTGAGCAAGGTGCATTTTTTTGCTTCTTTATATGTGCATGAAATTTTGCCACTTTAAGTTACCATGTTTGACCTTCACTTGCTGGTGTTTATTTTTATCATTTACGCATGCACTATCTTTCTTTGATTCTATAATTAGTTCGTACTCTATTATTTTTCTTAGATTTTAAACTGAGTAGTCATATTCTGTATTTTGTACCGTGTAGTTAGCTTGGAATGAATTTTGATGGATTGAAAACTTTAGTTTGTTTTTTAATGAAAACTTCAGAAGCAGGTCTCTGTCCCTCTATATTCCCTTTTCAGTCCATCAACCTGCTCTGAGGCAGTCAACTTTGAAATTGTAGAATTAACAGGTTTTGAGCTCAATTGTATCTGAACTTTGTTCAAAGGATCTTTTTAACTTCTTCTGCATCATGCTTTGAGGTGATATGATAATTATGGTTTTTCAAAATGAGATTAGTTCGGCTAGATTTTGACATCCAAAAGAATTTGTTTTTTGAGGCAAAGATATGTATTTCAAAGATCTGTACAACATGATCACCACCATACTCAGTGGAGAGAAGCACAAAAACTTGCTTGGAATTTGCAACAAAGGGTTAAGAGAAAGAAGCTCTCTACACACACATACAGAGTTACATATGTAGGTAGAGAGAGCCCAACAAGTTAGTACAAGCGCAAGGTTAGAACTGGGGCATTAGGATTAACAGTAGAACATGAGGTTCTTGAGGTTTCCGGCAAGCCTCGGCAAGGGTGCAGCTTGAGGGGGTGGACCTGCCCTCGACGGAGTAAATGACGCTGAATAATCAGGAGATAGGCATCCGCTGCCACCACCATTGAGTGGTGGGGGCTTATTGAGGTAAAGGCGGAGGCGGCCAAGTGCACGTAGTATGCAGGCGCCACAAGGGAAATGGGCTTTGTGCAGCGGGTGGAGGTGAAGCAAAGGCTGTAGATGAGCTTCTGAAGCTCATCGGACGAGAAGCAGTTCTCATCCCAAAGCACGTGATAGTGGGTCGGGCGGCTTGTCCCCATGGTCCCCTAGTGGCTACATAGATAGAAGTAGAATTCCCTCGGGTATGCTATCATCCGGTCCACCACGGTGCCAGGGGGTATGTTGTTGTTGTTGTCGACTGAGTGCAATCCTTGGGGGTTTGTTGTGGCCTGAAAACGCCTGGTGTGGTGCTGCTTTTGTACAACCACAAAAGTGATGGCCGGATTGTAAGATGCTCCTTTTGGCTGATTATTCAACTTCAACCGGGGAGTAGGCGGCCCTGATGGCCAGCAGCTCCTCGTGGAGCACTGTGTAGAATTGGGTCTCGCTCACACCATCCCTAAAGAAGAGGATCCTCTTGGGCATTTTGTTTACCTCTCGATAGAAATCAAGGAGCAATTCTTCCACCATCTGCCCCAGGTCCTCAATGATCTCTTGGTTGTGGGTCTGAGACCACATCCTCGATGCATACTTGTTTGGGGAGGGCCAATTCATGCTGTTGAGGGGGGCTGTGATCGTTGAGAGGGTGGGGGTGGGTGACATCCGCCCCCATGAATATGGCTGGCTCCGAGTCCTCAAACACTCAGGGCATTTGGGCTGGCAAGGAGTTGTAGAGGGCCACACTGCACCCCCCGGTCTTGGCATTGATTTTCAGGGCCAAATTGGTCAAGAATTGAGAGCCTTGTATCATGAGGTTCTGATAGAGGCAGCACTGGCTCACAATGCTGATGCTCATCTCTGAGATGCGTTTGAGGTCGGTGCAGCCTCGGTGCTCCTCTCCATGACGCTGACAAGGAGCTGAAGGTGATTGGATGCTAATTCTTGGATCTTCCGAAGCTTCGATACGAGAGACGAGACACTGTTGAGGGTCTACATGGGCCCAAATTGTGGGGCAACAGTTGGGACCTTGTTGAGAGCTACGCCTAGCTGCTGACAACGGTGGGCGAGTTGGATGATGAATTTGGGGAGAGAGGAGCGCTGCTCCGGGGTGCCTCCGAAGCTGATGATATCCCACCTCTCTATGCGTGCCCCCTGCAGCACATGGCTCTCAAGAAGGTTCCACTGGCAGTCGTGGCGAGTTGGGATGAGGTCTGTGACTTGGCCAGCATCCCCAAGTTTCAACTTTGGAGGCTGGAGGACCCTGCCTGTAAATCTAGTCATATCTCTTGATATATGGAGCTTGAAGTCTTTTGCCATGTTGCCACTAGTTGGGCAATGGGTCCTCCCATGGCTCCATTAATGATTGCTCTTCGCTCTCACGGCTTCTGGCAACCCATCTTGAGGATCCTCACTGTCTGTTAATTTGAGAGCTTCTCCATAAACTTCTGACCCTCACAGATGACGCAGAGCTCCCATGGGAACGTAAGATGGCTTGCTCCTGCTCATCTGAAGGCAAGGCAACTTCTGGAACTGAATGTCATGGTTATAATTCTCCTTGAAATAATCCACCAGGCTTATGTTCGCGCCACCCCTGCTCTTGAATCTCAGATTCTCAGTCGACTCCGTGGTGAGGCTGAAGACCTTGTACCTCTGGTCGGTGACTCTGTGGGACACAAAAACCCTAATGTTTCTGAGCGCTTTCTCCAACTCTCTCCTCTCCTCACCCACTAATCCGCGGCTCTTCCTCTGGGAGAGATCCCTCAAAAATTCGCATCTCTTTTGGAGGAATTGGATGATGCTGATTCTCTCGTGGAAGGCAGCCACTGAGAAATCGACATTGAGGGCAAGGCCCTGTTTGGTGGGCCTCAGGCTCTGAAATAAGCCCCTCAAACATATGGCCCCTTCACCGATACCCTTGGCCCCTCCCCCAATGGAGCTCGAGTACAGGGACCTGCCCACAGGGATGCATGTCTCAACTGGATTCTTTCTCAAGACCACATTGAGAGCATGGAGATAGTCTTGGGGGAGGGGGACATTGTAATTCGCATCTTCTTCCTCCTCGTGGTCCTTGTCTCTCAAAAAGCGCTCCAAGTCTTGGCCATCGACCTTTGAGGCCAGTTTCATGTTTACCCTGAACAATTTTAGTTTCGTTCTCGGTTTTGACTGTGGAGTATCTCCCATTTTGGAAGGAATCGGGAGAGCAACGAAGAACTTGAGCCTATCCTTGTGGAATTGGCTGGGACTGTACAGATTCATTCGGCCATCAAAGGCAGCAGAAGACGTGAGGGAGGCGTTGTTACAGAAGCGCTTGCGCTTAATGAGCCTGGCCACCTCCTTTGTGGAGCGGGGGATATGTCAACATTATAATGGAAAATGGTTTGCGAGGGGTCGAAACGAACCAGGAAATGGTCGGTGAGGAGTGGAATCGGAAGGCCCTCTTCCCCTCCAGAATCAGGTCTCCTCACCGCTGCAACGAGTGCCTTTTTGTGCTGGTGCTGCTGCTGCTGCTTCAACTCCTTCTTGAACTGGTGATGGTGATCCAATGAGATGGAGTGAGTGCTACTGGTTTTGAGCTCTTCTACTGGTACAGAGACTTGAGAGAAAGTAAGTGAGGTTGGTGATGATGCATGAGGGGGATAGAGAGGTGGAGGAGGAAGAGGGCGTTGGTAGGGGATGGGAAGATGGTACCACAACTCCATTAGAGTGGAGGTTGAGAGACCACCATGCTGATGCTGTTGTTGTTTCCTCTAATAAAAGTAGTTGCAGGAATAGGAGGAATGGGAGTGGGACTAAATCTCCTCCTCCCCTTTGTTGTTGATGACCTTCTCTTTGCAGCAACCCCTCCATGCCTCAAAACACAGTAAGAAAGAGATAATATTGTTTGTCCAAAAGATTTTCTTGGTAAGAGAAACCAATGGAAAAAAAAAAAAATCTCGCCAACAGGTAACCAGTTCTTCAGAAACGGTATATATATATATATATATATATATATATAGTTAGGTTGTAGAGTAGTAACTACTACCTAACTAAATAACGTAAGTAGTAAGTAAGGTAGGGTTGTAGTATAGTAGTTATTATTACTACAAGACTAATACTTACTTTTAA